AGGAACAGCAAACTGACACAATCATTTCCAGTACGGCCTCCTCGACGTCCTCAACTCCAAGTTCCAAATCGCCCTCAACATCACCGCCGCAAAGGCCGGCGGTCTCCAGGGCGCCTACTTTGGCGCCTACTTCATCGGTCCCCTGACCTACTCCGGCTGGATCGTCCGCAAGTTCGGCTACCGCTGGACCTTCATCACCGGCCTCTGCATCTACGGCGTCGGCGCCCTCATGTTCTGGCCCTCCGCCGTCTACCGCTCCTTCCCCGGCTTCTGCGGCTCCCTCTTCATCGTCGGCTCCGGCCTCTCCACCCTCGAGACCTCGGCCAACCCCTTCATCGCCACCTGCGGCCCGCCCCGCCTCTCCGAGTTCCGTCTCGAGCTCTCCCAGTCCTTCCAGGCCGTCGGCTCCGTCATCGCCCCTCTCCTCGCCGCCCGCGTCTTCTTCTCCCACACCGAGCCCAATGACCTGTCCAAGGTGCAGTGGACCTACCTCGGCATCGCCGCCTTCGTCTTCCTCCTCGCCGTCGTCTTCTTCGTCGTCCCCTTGCCCGAGATCACCGACAGCGACATGGCCCTCCAGGCCGAGATGGTCGCCGGCGAGGAGGGTCACGACGACAAGCCCCTTCGCAAGCAGTACCGCCTCTTCTTCGGTGTCGCCGCCCAGTTCTGCTACGTCGGCGCCCAGGTCGCCGTCGCCTCCCAGTTCATCTCCTACGCCGTCGAGTCCGCCGGCCTGACCCACTCCGAGGCCAGCGACCGCTACGCCATCGGCCAGGGTCTCTTTGCCATTGGTCGTTTCGCCGCCGCCGGACTGATGATGGTCATCAAGCCCCGTCTCGTCCTCATGGTCTTCATGACGGGCATCATGATCTTCATCGCCTTGGCTATCGGCATCAAGGGCGAGGGCGGCATCGCCATGCTCTCCATCGTGCTCTTCTTCGAGTCGTGCATCTTCCCCACCATCTTCACCACCGCCATCCGTGGTCTCGGCAGACACACCAAGCGCGGTAGCTCCTGGATCGTCGCATCCGTTTGTGTAAGTTTTCCTCCATCATACTCTGATGTCAATCCCCCAAAGACATGTTTTGCTAATTCCTTCCATAGGGTGGTGCCCTCTTCCCCAGTCTCACTGGTCTCGTCGCCGACACCAAGGGATACCACATCTCCATGGTCGTGCCCCTCGCCGGCTTCGTCGTCTCCCTCGCCTACCCCATCTTCCTCAACACCGTCTGGAAGAAGGACCTCGACAGCTTCAGCGCCTCCAAGATTGGAAACACGGACGAGCACGGCGTCATTGGCGACCCGGCCAGAGACGATGCCTATGGCGACAAGGCCGCCTCCAAGCACTTGGAGTCATAAATGCCTTCTTCTCCTCTCCTCTCAATACCCAACCCATCCTCTAAATCATTACCCCTGGATGAAATGAATGAAACGAATTTGGTGTAGATAATAAACACATCGGCCTATGACGGATAGAAGAGAGAACTTGTATATACCCGTACCTTTAATTAAAGATTCTCCTACTTTCATATTGCTGTCTCATTCGATTTTGATGAATACCACGCTTGCCTGACTTGTGATATGTGTTTCCAGATGAGGGTTTAGGGATTTGAAAACTGTTATCCGGATATCAGTCTGGAGCTGAGAAGAGACAGGCGTAGTCTTCTCAACGCCATTTCCTAGCTATATCAGATAATCAGCTTAATCATGATCCACGCTATGGGTCACGGTTGGGAAGTAGTCCGCCAGCGCAATCTCTCCCCCCCCCCCCTTCCTTCCTGAAGTAGGCGAGATATCAGCTGATACTCATCACAGATACTTCCTCTCACCACTATACCTTCGGCTGGGTACCTTTATGGGCTGCTTCAACCTTCAGATAAAATGGAAATGTGAACCTGAGAGAGGAAGCGTTTATATCCCCCGCCCCCCCCTCAAGTCCATTCTCGTCACCGACGTCAGCAGGCGCCTCAGCAGGCTTGCGAGGTCAGGTCAAAACTGCGGTTTGGCGGGACGGTTACGGGCGAGCCTGTTCAACTGGCTAAGCCTACACGAGGTTCGAAGTTCGAGTCCCAGCATGAGCACCAGAGATGTAGCCCCCCGTTCAGCACCCGGGGGGGAGGGGGGTGGTGGACATTTTTGTTTTTTGGTTTCTCTTTTTCTTTCCCCCCCACGAGATTAGAAGTTGCATCACCTACCTATCATATGCCGCTGTCTGCCATACTATCTGTGTACGGGGTGGATGCTACCCTGGGTAGAGTGGGTGTTCTCCTTGAAGTCCGGTGAGGCACTGCTCCTTCCGTTGTTTGATTCATGGTGTGGTTGGATGACTGTTTGGTTATCTGAAGTACAAGATTGTCCCTTTGCGGTCATGTGATCAAAGCGCATGTATGTAAGTCGGCTGCTCTTTTCTGTGTGGTAGTTTATGTGCCATGTGAGTTACTCCTCACATTGATCCGTCCCCTCCGGCCATTAACCCTGGACCGGTCTTGATATATGAGGTCGAGAGTGTAACGGAGTTAGTGAACAAATAGAATTTGCTACCGATAGTCTCAGAACGGAACAGGATATTTGTAAGGTATCGAGTCGAGATGCTCCGTATATTGTAAGTAGACCGACTGCTAGCTGGCTCTCAACTTTAAAAGCTGGCAAGAAAGGCCTTAGCCTAGGGCGGCACAATAATGGTAGTCGCAAATAGCTTCAACGAAAAGGAAGATTGGGGTTGAGGCTAGATCAGAAACTTGGAACACGTTGGCCAGCAAACAGCGTGATGCCACAGTCCTACTATACCGGCGATATGAAGGTCTTGGAGAGCTTCGGCGACCAAAGTTGGCGGTGAAGCATTCGCCTCTCAAAGGATATCAGGCTGATCGACAGCTCAGGATCGCCTCGGCTACGGATGTAACCCCTTTCTCTTCTCGTTCGCTTGCCCGAAAACAGCCCTCAGCGCCAAGGTTTCTCGCATCGAAAGCAAACAACCCGAGCTTCGGCATGTTTTCTTGCAGCACCAACAACAGCGGCATGTCAACAATGCGCACAGTCGATTACAGAGCCCAAGCTCTCCGATTTACCAAAGATAGTCTACGGAGTATGGCGCACGTCTGTTCGTAGAAAGCTGATGGCACCATCGTCCGAGGCACGGTTGAGTTTGAGCTCAATTCCACGCTGGACCCTTCTTGGGCCCTTTTCTCGAGAAACACTTCGGCCATGGGATGCAGGTGAGTCTTGAGCCTAACACGGTGTCGACGACCAGTGAACAATGTTAGAAGGAAACCATGTTTGGAAAAGGTCCATCAGCTACATCATGTCTCTCACCGTCTGCATTCCACGCTCTGCCTTAGCTACGGGCGGGTACGCAGCCCAGGAGAATGAAATAATCCGATAATTTGGAAACACGACGAGACGTTGGAGCTTAGCGTCGTTCCGTACCTACGTCGCGTTACCTAGGCCAGCAACATGCTCCGTAGTTGAAAAGGCCGGCCACAGTTTTGGGTTTGAGCCGGACTCGAGGCCATCCGGCGGCTATCGACCGTGCTAATTCCTGATGTGGTGGTGTACGGGGTATTGTATCCGTGATCACTGGTGTTCTGGACTCCTGGAGTAATGTGCCATGGATCGTGAACTCGTGGTTCATTGGCACATTAGACTGACCGTTTCTGGACGACTACGAAATTGGACGTGATGATAATCGGCGGCGCTTTCCCTTAAGAGAGAGTCAATCGCAAAAAAGGGATTGGGTTGGACTTGGGGATGGGGAAACCTGGCAAGGCAACGTCATGTTGCAATTTCCAGATCCCTAGGTGCATTGAGCCATCTTCTCATTTGCCCATTGCCCATTGGATCCGTACCTTAGGTACTCCGTACACGAAGTACATTCCCAATTACCTTCTTTACCGCGGCTAGAAAGGTACCATCGTTTAAAGGTGATGCTTGTCGAGAAAAAGAGTTGACCTAGGCGAACGGGCGAATCAGCATCGGGACGCCACCTGAAACGGCGTCCGATGGTTCGTCAGATGGCCGAGCTGGTGGGGGCCGAGAAGGAAGACGAGAAAGAGGAAGGAGGGGCCTTGCCGCCTTTCTCAGAGCGCAGAGATACACTACGACAGAGAGAGCGAGAGACAGAGAGGTTCGCAGCCGACAGTACTCCGTAGTGTGCCTTACTACGTAGAGACAGTGCACGTGAGTGGATCAATGGCTAGGTGAGTAGGAAAATCTCATCCAGACGATTGGCGGATGATGCACGTCTGGGTTGGCCGCTGCAAGGTACCCGATGGTGGCACTAGCTTTTTCGGGACTGGATGAACAGGGGGAACCGCGGGTATCCACCTAAAAGGGAATGGGCCACCTCAATTGGCAGGAAGAAAAAAAAGCTGTGCGACTCTGAGGTGAGGAAGGCGCACGTTGGAAATCTCCTGAAAAGAAAGAAAGATTGGCTGGCGCGCGCCGCCTGTCTCATTTCCCAGGTACAGATTTCCCGCCGTTGGTCTTTCCCCTTTGGTCTCATCGCGACTTTTGTCGTTTCGCTCTCTGTCTCTTTCTCTGGAACTGGACTGTCTCTCCCTGCCAGTGTCTGACCTGCCCCTCTAAATGCCCCCCGCCGACGCGACAAGCCTCCCTGCTGCTTCGCTGCTTCTGGGGGCGGTCACGTTTGCCCGTCTTTCTCAAAGCCTCCAGGGCCTTCCTCCCACCTTCCAGGGCCCCCGGCACCCTCGCTCGGTGGAATCGTGGAGGCATCGGAGAGGGACCGCCGCAACTGGAGTCTGTATTCGTACGAGTGGACGGACTTGTTGTTGCTGCTGTTGTTGACAGTGGCGGTCAGCGAGGCTGGGTTGAGATGATGAGGTTGTTGCGGTGCCACCAAGTTTGCGCGCGACGAGAAAAGAAACCAAAAGTACGAAATACGTTGGGCGCATAAACGACCACCAGTTCATCCCCTTTTTCTCATCATTGCCGTCCACTTGAGACGCCGCACGAAGGCCAGTGCCACCCTCTCCAAACAGTTCCAAACAGGAGCAGGAGTCAACCTGGTGGGAACAATGGCAAGCCGCCACACCACCAGTCCACCACAACCTCATCCACTCTTCGTCCAACATGATCCATTGGGGGCTGCCGATACTGGCCAGCACCAGCACCCCAGCGACGGTCTGTTCACCGATCAAGCAAGCGACCGCCGACCACTGGCTGCTCTGGAAAGCCTCTGATCCGAATGGAAGCGCTCCCCCTCCAAGCCGGGGTCATCGTGGTTGGCCCTGTCGGCCAAGCGACTCCAAGTGGTTGCTGTCCAGGCAAAAGAAATTAAAAGGAGGATCCTTCCGAATCGGTGCTGAGCGCACTTGTGAACAACCATCAGCCATCATCTCTGTCTCTCTCTGTCTCTCGCCCAGTCTGTCCATCTGCCACTGATAGACTGTTAGTGCTACCCGTAGTGTTAGTGTTGGTGTTAGTAACGCTTTCCCAATCCCAATCCCAGGCCAGCGCTGCCCCGTGCCACCCTTTCGCCTGTCGCCGACTCATCCCCATGTCCTGCTCCCCCCCGTCTCGCGACTCAACTCCCAGTCTCTCCCACTCTTTCTCTCCACTTCATCTCCAGTCTTTTCGCTGTCCCTCGCTCTGTCTCTGTCTTTCTCCCGCAACGCTCTTTGCATCGTCGCTCGCTTTTTAGGTCAGGCTCCTCCAGCCCAGTCACTCTTTTACACCTCCTCGTCGCGATCCCACATCCAGAGTACTCGTCCCTCTCTCGCTCCGGCAATACTCTCGTTGTTTGTCGTCGATTCACTCGTTCCGCGTCGACTTTGCGCTCACTCCCAACACACGACCACCATTGAGTCTATTGTCTTTCGGAAATTTCGAGAAAAGACTCTAATCCACCGATTACCCGATCGAACCATTTTCAATCACCACTGAACCCCCCGGCAAATCCGCTTTCGCAATGCATATCCGCTCACTCGCCTCTGTGGCCTTCGTGGCCTTCGCTGCCCAGGCTTTCGCGCAACAGCAGACCAAGATCTTCAAGCGCAGCATCACCGCCGGAAGAGATTTGGGCCTCATGCGCCGCGCCGACGACGGTTACCAGCCCGCCGACGAAGTCTGCAACAAGGGTGGTAACACCTGCGCTGAGGCCTGCGGAACCGGATATGAGCAGTGCAAGTCCACCGACCAGGCCGTCCACTGCTTCAACCCGGCCGCCGGCGAGACTTGCTGCTCAACCACCACCGGAAGTGAGTTGACTTGTCTTATTCTACTACAGCCTGCACCTTGAATACTAACACGTCACATCAGACTCCTGCTTATCATCTTTCTACTGCACCCACGGCAGCAACAGCGACACGACCTGCTGCCCCAACGGCATGAACCTCGCCGACTGCGCCGCAAAGCACGGCGTTAGCGGCCTCACTTCCGACCCACCCGTCGTCGCGAGCACTTCCGTTCCTCCCACCACCAGCAAGACCACCCCTCCCCCGACCACCAGCTCAACGCCGGCACCGCCCACCACCACCTCATCCTCGGTCGTCGTCACCACCTCCAGCACTCCCGCCCCTTCTTCCACCCTGATCCCCTCTACTTCCGCGGTGCCCAGCACTACCGAGGTGACCACCGAGGTCCCAACGACCTTTGTTCCCAGCGCCGGTACCAGCACAGCCTTCGCCTCAAGCAACGGCACCACCCTGGCCACGACATCGACTCGCTCCAGCACGAGGAGTACTGTCTTCCCTTCGGCGGCGACCACCTCGGCATCTGCCCCGGATCAAAACGCTGGAAGCAGCAACGGGCCCGCCGGCATGGCGGTTCTCCTCGGTGCCGCCTTTGTCGCTGCGCTGCTCTGATAATTTACAACTGACCCGTTTGGAACCGCTGCCCTGGCATCGACTCTAATCTGTTGCTTCAAGCAATTTCATCCGTCAATACCAGGGTCAGTGTGCCATGTGTCACGAGTATAATGAAAACGAAAAGCAGCGGGCGGAAGCAGGATCCACGTGCTCTGTTGGGATGTTACTGTTGGCCGGAATTCTTTTGCTGATGCTTATGATTCCCCTGATCTACTTGAAATGTACGGAGCGGCTTGATGAACCTTTTCGATGTGTTTTTGCGACGGTGTTTCTGGATACGAAAGGAGAGACGAAGAAAAAGATGGATGGTTTGGAGATTTGGATTCGACCAGCGCTTTATATCCTGTTTTTGTGTTTTTGTAAGCGGCACATTTTGTGCTGTTTACCTGTACTTACGATTCCCCCTTTTCATTTGGGCGAGCTTGGGAGACACCTATATACATTTCCCAAGCTCGATGAAACCCCCAAAAGTATCATAAACCTTAATATCCTTCTGGGACAACACAATAACATCACAACATTGCACGCAGCCTAACTGCCCTCGATCCCTTGCTTGCTCTAAAAAGTGTTTCTGAAGAGCGTCTATGTGCGATGCCTACGCCGTGTCACATGTTCTATAAAAGCCCGTAAGTTTCGAAGCCGAATTGATGCCCCTCCTCCAAACCGCGCTGTGTTGGAAAGAGAAAGGTCAGACCGCCGAACACTATACGTTACGGAAATCAGTGTTGAATACGTCGCGGGGGGGGGGGGCGGGGGGGCGGGCTGTTGGGTACTATTACTCAACCTGCCGTTCCGGTACCAATTTGCAAAAACGGAGCCCGATTATCCCACGCCCTGATAGCGAGGCCGGTTGAACGTCAAGGTAAAGCCGCCGGCCGGTCGGGGTCGGGGTCGGGGCCGGGGCCGGGGCCGAGGTTGTTGATACCGGAGCCGGGAGGTGGTGAATAGGGCCGGAGTCTATCTGCCCAAAGTAAGACCCGCCCCGCCCGCTTCCCGGCCCCGGATCCGTCGAGTGGTTGAGGCTTGTGTTCAGCCTCTGGGACCTAAGGTACGGTACGCATGCGACATGCAACGGCGTTCCGACGCAAGGGGGGCTGATGGGACAGCTACTATTGATGTGGCTTTCCGATCAAAGGCCGCCGCCCTTTGACGACTTGAGACTAGACTAACACAATAACCATATTATCCACGCAAACATACTTGGGATCCTGTCATACCAATGGTGCCGTCAGATACGAAGTTTCAAAGTTCAAAGATAGTTGATATTAGCGCCTGCTATCCCAAAACACTATGCGACCGGGTATCATGGTTGATGCTCTCTACAACGAAAATTCCGCCCCCCCCCCCATAGCGCCTCAAGCTGAGCCTCTTCACAGTCCTTCGTTCCACGGCCGCCAGAACTGGTTCCTAAACGTCGGCATACACTTGACCATCGCTGGCGGCTCCTCTTGCCAGTTGATCTTTGGTGGCTCTCCATTATTCTCATTAACGGTCCACGCCGACGCAAAGCCCCTCTCTTCTTTGATTTGTCGTCCATCCTTGACGTTGTATGCCAAGCTGACGCTCGGTACGACGGCGATTTTGCCGTGACCCAACTTCCACAAATCCTTGCATAGCAGTGTTGGCTCGCCAGTATGGCACTCCCCTTGGTATGACCTCCGGAAGTCGATCTGCTTCTTCAGGAAGGGCTCCCCAGTCACCGCAACGCCTCCGTTCCAGCACGCAAACACCTGCAGCGGCTTACGGCTGAGGTAGCGATCCTGGGAGTACGGGTGATTCCAAAACATATTCGCAACGTCGCTCCACTGTTCTCCCTTGGGCGTTCTGTCGGGAATCGGCAAGAAGGTGTCGCCGTTGATGGCACGAGAGATCCACGAATCGTAGAACGAGGGTTCTCCATTGTGCGGCGCAAATCGGAGGAAGTGGTAGTCCATCGCGCAAGTCATGTCAGCCCCCTGCGTCTGCTTCTGGTATGCTAGCTCCAGAATATCCTCGGTGCATGCAGCAACGTCGTTGAGGAAGATAATCGTCGCCTTCGGATCGTAGGCATCGGCATCTGCCATCATGGGTTCCAACGCGAGATTCCTCAGCTTGGCGAGCTTACCGATGCGGTCGCCACTGTGGGAATCGATGCTGCTCGTCTGTAGGTGGTAGGAAACTCCCATCTGGTCGAGGTGAGATTTAAGGCGGTACAGCGTTTCATATGTACCGTCGGTGGAAATGCCCTCAACGATGGAAAGAGCGCAGTTCTCCGGCCCAATGACGTTCATCGCTTCCAAAACAGCTCCTATCAACTGAGGCAGGAGATCTCTAACCTGTCGCAAGTCGAGAGCAAAGAAATAGTGCCTCTTGTCCATGTTCATGGTAGGCCGCAGGACTTCGTAGCGAGTGACATTTGTCGCAGGGCAGTTAACGATGGGAAAGCCGCCATTCTTGGGGTCTAAAATTGCCTGCACGTATTGACTTGCTTCGCCAAACTTATCTGGCCGGCCTTCGTAGAGAGCTGGTTGGACCCAGTTGGGCGAAGAATCGTTCATCCAGCTGCCGCCATATTCTGAACCCAAATTAGCACACCAGGGTGGCAAAAGGGCCATTGGCCAGACTTACGTTCTGCTGTCCATGGAATTACAAAATACTGGACTAGCGGTTGGTGGAAGAGCAAGAAGAATCCGGTGATGAGGATAAAAACGATGATGGCGATGAAGGGCGTCCGAAGCCGCCTCGGGTTATGAAAGTTCGCAATCATTGCGTGTATGTACAGTGGTCGTTTGACGAAATCGTGATGTGCTGAATCAACTTTGGCTAGCTGAGGTACGGCGATGGCATGCGAGTTTTCTTCGAATATAGCAGCAACAGCAGCTTTGGCGAACGATGCCAAGGGAACTATGAGCGCACGCCAACAAGACTGGATCGAGCCAATATGCAGGTTGATGACTTCAATGCAATGAAAGGAAAATGCCAAGATCGGTGACCTGGAAAAAGGATGAAGGTGGGAGGAGGAGGGCTAATAGTTCATATCAGGTCCCGGTGGGCAGGAGCACTGACGAAAGCTAAAGCAGAGGCGATCTGGAAGGCGAGTCGAACTCGAAACCTCCCGACAGTTCGTTCCTTTCTGTTTCTTGATCGGAACTCTCGGCGACCCTGCAGGAAGAAAGAAAAAGGTTATGGCATGAGGGCCAAAAAATCAGAATGGTCTGGCGTTGGGATTATAGAGTTCTGCGTAGTCGTGACCCAGGAGCAAACAGCTCACATGGCCGGGAATGGCTGCAGCTGAAGCCTGTGGGAGAGAAGCAGTTCCCGCCGAGCTCCGTTGTAAAAGGTGTTTAGGAGAAGAGACGGAGCCCGAGCGATGCGAGGCGCAGCGATCCAAGAGTCGAGATCAACTAGGATCTTGGTTAGGAAAGAAGGAACGCAAAAGTCATCGAGCGGTAGGGTGAGAGAAGAGGCGAGATGGAGGTCAAAAGTAACGTGAATACCTTGATGCTGACGGGACGGGGGAGCACCTGCTTTAGTTTATGTTGGACAGCACGCACTCCTTGGCCCTTAAGGTAAGGAAGGTACCTTACGCACGCACAGAGAAAGAAGGCGGAGTCTTGACTCTGGAAACTCAACAGCCAGGAAGGAGGAGAGGCTCCTGGCTCCTGCTTGGGGCGGGCCAAGTGGTGTTCCTGGCTGTGTCTGGTATGTGTCAACTTGGCAGGATGCGCCTCACACCGCACACGTAGCTGCGGATACCTGTACCGTCTTGGGGCATCTGTAGCCAAAAGGGTACATCCCAAGGCAATAATGGGAAACTCAGACTGGGCTCGCCCTACCCGGATGCACATCGCACTATGTGACCCTCGAAAAGATCTCCACGAGCCAGGGCGGGTAAGGAGGGAACGGACCCAGTCCCGTCGTTGCAATTTGATAATAACCTGTCAAGTGTCCACATGCGAATCCTTCCATGGGACCATGCCAGGTACGGATACTCAGCCCACTTCATCTCTTTTCTTCAGCTTCTTTGCCCCCATGGATACAATTCTGCTCTTCGTCTCACCGTAACATATGGCAATGCCTTTTTGTTACTCTGCGACACTTATGCTGCGCTGTGCCTTGCCACGGTCGTTGTTCCGAGGCCGGAGACATGTGGCAGGAATGCGTTCTGTTGAGGCACGGCGAGTACTCCGTACACACGGTTCCTGAGTGAGAGTTCCACGTCCCGTCACGGCTTGTTTCACCCTCTGCCTTTCTCTTGCTCGCAGCCTAGGTACCTTACAGTTTGCCTCAGTCCAGACACCTTCATCAAACGAACAATAAGAACGATCTACGGATACGGCATTCACGACGGAATGTTGTGATCTGCACATTGGTTCTGGAGACAACATCTCCATGGCCACTGTTCCAGAAGTTTGAACCCCCGTCTCTGAGGTGCAAAAACCCCCAGTGTAACCCCAGACCAAAAGTAGCCAACCAAGAAAGCTAACTAGCTCATTGTGGCTTACCCTGCTTTCTGGAGTCGCCCGGTTTAGCGGCAACGTCGCCCGGCCAAGCCCCCACGACACGCATCGGCCCCCGGAAAGGTACACGTCAATTTGGAGTTTGGACAAGGCCATTATAATTCAGTATATGCAGTAATCACGGCTACCACGGGCTACGGCTACCGGTGGGAGTATAGGAACTCTCTCTCAGCTGTTTCGCTCGTGCTCTTGACACATCCGCAAACAAGATGCGCGACGAGGTCTCAGACACACTGCGCATACAAACTCAACCCAATCAAACATCGGATCGCCAAGAGGCACTGGTCCAGTCAAACACAATTGTTTCCATCCGTCTGTGCCTCTTCGCATGGGCCAAACCTGGACTTCTCTCTCCGCCAATGCAGCAGTGCGTCAACAATGCACCCTCCTGTTCAATGTTATACATTTGACTTCTTTCCGGGATCGACCACGGCTGACGGTGCCGATCCTCCCGCCCACAATCTCCCGAGGTTGCAGCTGGAAGTTTTTGCAGAGGACTGCAAGCAGCTTTTCTCCTTCTCGGGGCCTCCAAGCTAATGATCTTGTCCAGTAAGAAAAAGAAAAATGCTGCAGCCTGGCACAGGTAGCCGGCAAGTGTCATGACATTCCTTGTCATACAACCACAATATCTTCTCTCCATACCACCCAACCCTTGTCCCGTCTGCCGAACAACCAGGCGGCATTAACCAGCCATTGACGCGACACCGATCGGCTTTCATCCACGCTTTTTCTGACGAACTCGCATCCATGTCGAGTTTCCCAGCAAAGCCCTTGGCCTGCTTGGCTTGTCCCGCTGAACCTAGCCTTCTTTGTCAGTCGAGTGAGGACGGGCCTCACTTCAAACCCTTTTGACAGCTGAGGCAGCGGAAGAATCCTTCTTTGATGAGAAATAGTCGAGAGCTGACGTTGAGGCAACGCCCCAATTTCGCCGCGGCCGCTATCCCTACCCGACTGGACGGGCCGGCGCAGCGGCATTCAATCGACCAACATCTCCGAAAATAGCGCTGTTCTGTATTGGCTCTCTAGCAAAAACTTTGTACCTTTGATGGCCTGTGCGTTTGACGCTGTGATACGCAACGGCCTCATCTTTGAACACTTTTCAAAAGTCTTCAAAAGTGTTCTATTGCGGTCGGACTGCTTGTAAGACTCGTCGAGTCTTCGGCTTTCAGCATCGTCAGATCGGAAAGCCTGGTGCTTCATGCGAACGAGGCTAAAGAAACTTGAACTGGATCGAGACAGTGGGTAATTGTACCTACTCGACGCGCGGATTCCGGAACCCCCACATATACGACGAACTACACGTATACCGGGCGGATCAGGCCTGACTCGCCAGACCAATTGACCGGTCCAGTACTCTTTTGCCTTGGATACAGGTTCCCAGTGTATTGGTATTTGGTGCCAATGCGCCATGTTCCTGCGCAATCATATTTCATTGCAATTTCCTGAGTAGCTGGGACTTTGGGCACCGTCCTAGATTTCGGCCAAGCCTTGGTGGGCCTGGGCAGTGTACACTCTCTACAGATTTAGCAGCTTCGTCACCCTCTTCGCAACGCTCTGCTCGAATTCGGTCACGCCGCTCTTTAGGCGCGTCATGTTCCCTTGTCTCAACTTGTACACAAGCCGTCGTCTGGGTACCCCTCTTTCATCTTCATCATCTTCGCTGTCAGAGTCCTCGATAAGACCCTCAACTGCTCCGCGCATGAACCACCGATCGTGACTGACGAGCACTACTGCGCCCTCCCAGTCTCTGAGTGCTTCACGCATAGCAGTTACAGTCTCGTAGTCGAGATGAGTGGTGACTTCATCAAGAATAAGACAGTGAGGTCTCTGCCATAAAAGACGTGCGAGCTCGCATCGCACAAGCTGCCCTCCTGACAGCTTCCCAAGAGGTACATCGGAAGCAATGCGACCAGGCAGGCCGAGACTGCCCAGAACGCCACGGACTTGTCCCTCATCCAGTTCCCCGGCTACTTCCTCCATGAGCATCGACAACGCCGTCAATGAAGGATCGCCTTGGCCCTTTTCTTGCAGAGTATCGACCGCATGTTGCGAGTAATATCCCAGCTTCAGCCGCGGGTGTGTTGTCACTGTTCCTGACGTGGGCTTCGTCTCGTCGACGAGAAGTTTGACCAAAGTCGACTTCCCGGCACCATTCAACCCGAGGATGCCAATTCGGTCACCCATGTGAACAGACAGGTTTATATCCTGCAACACTGTTGGTGCGGCCAGCTTCGTCTTGCCCCTAGTCGGATAACGGAATGTTGCATTCTCTACCGATATAAGAGGCCCTGGAAATCGTAGATCTAGAGGTTCCGGCAAGACGAAGCTTACTGGCCGTTCGTCTTGGGGGACGTCTATTTCCTCGCGGGCTGTCAAGTGAAAGCCAACTAGGTCGCGGTTCAGCTCGAAGCGGCCACCTTTGGCACTGACCGTAAGGCCCCATCGATCGTCGAGCTTCTTTTGGCGGGATTTGGCCTGCCGTAGCTTGTTCTGGTCGTCATTGGCCTTGCCTGCCTTGATGTTGTTGGAGATGCTCTGCTGGATATGAGCCTTTTGCTTGTCTTGAGCATCCTTCATCTTTGTCAACCAGAGTTTCCGCTCCGACTGCGACGCCTCGTATGTGGGGAGGTCACCGTGGAAGTACGTCAACCCCTTTTCCTTCAGGATAAGGAGATCACTACAAATGGTGATGAAGTCTCTGTCGTGCGACACGAGGATGAGCGTAGGGGCGTCATCCGTGTCTTGGAGGGATCCCAGATACCGCTGAAGCCAGATGATGCCAAGTAGATCAAGGAAGTTTGTCGGCTCATCCAGGATGAGGATGTCAGTCTCCTGGAGCAGTGATATGCAGAGCGCGGTCCGCATCCGCCACCCGCCAGATAGGCTGGTGACGGATTTTGACATGTATGCCTCGGAGAACCCCAGGCCTGTCAGGATGCGCTTGGCTTTAGATTCCTTCTCGGCTACTTTGGACGGCTCGACTTGCAGTTGGAGATCTGCGAGCATGTCTAATGCCTCCTGCGTCTCAGTCTTGATGGTTTCGGCCGATATCTCATCTTGCTGCTGATTGACCCTGGCTTTTTGGTCAGTGTCACCCACGGAACTGGATATCACAGGAGCCAACAAACATACAATGACTGAGACTCGGCTACTTTTTTCTCAAAGGCCTTCAAGGCCTTACGTGCTGCCAGGCCGCGGTCTCCGCTACGCAGCCTTGCATTCTTGTCGACTTGGAAGAGGTGCTTTTGGTTTCTCTCATGACGGAGAGCGCGAAGTGCGCGTACGGGGCCGATGGAGTCTGTACTATTGATGCCATCGGACAAAGCTACGAATATTAGTTCCAAGTCAATGGGAAGATGCGAAGGCTATATCAGGCAAACCTCTGATATCCTGTTCAACATCCGACCGCGCAGTCGCTTGTTCGATAACGTGCTCCAACACAGTGCGGCTGCTCTGGATGGAGCCGTCCGCTGGGCTAGGAGTAATAGTTGAGTCGTTGTCTTCGGGGCGCACGTCCGAGTCGGTATCACTGATACTGGTTTGCTGGAGAAGAGATATCCGAGTCGCCTCGGGTATACCGGGGATCAGCTTCTCGGCGATTGCTCTCAGGAGTGCTTCAAGGTTGGGTCAATGATTGAAGTGCCTAAGTTGCTCTCGTAGTCTCTTTCGGTGGACTCACTCGATTTGCCTGAACCATTTCTTCCGACGAGGGCGTATCGTTGGCCGGCCTTCAGACGCAGCTTGGCATCGACCAGGATCTCGGTCCCCTCGCTCCGGGCTTTGGACTTGCCCTTGGCACCACTACCACCACCGGATCTACGAGCCGAAGCCACGGTGATGTTGAGGCCATCAATGTCCAGCTGTGGGATGGTGACTTTTTGTCAGCTGGTCTGCGCGTTTACTATGGGGTAAATGATTGAGAAAAATTACTTCTCGATAATCTGCTGTCTGAATGTTGAAGCGCGTCTGTTTGCTGGTGCAGAGGATCGTGGCCACGGACTCGGACGCTATCGACGTCATCGCTCCGACTTTCTTCCAGTTGGATGTCTATTGAACTCAAGGGAATGATCACGAAGGGATGGAGAATCAAAGCGAAACCTGCTGAACAAAGATGATTGAATTCGATGCCGTGCCTCGATTTTGAGGTGCTTGGGGTATTCTTCACATTATATTTGGTTCTTGTTTAGGTCTCTGGCCTGTGCCAAGACTTATTACGGTGCTTGTCCTCGCATCTGCTTCCCAAGTACCTCGCAGATTGAATTAGCATGGCACGGGAGGTTAAGTTCGTCTGGCCCTTCCAGCTTGGTGGCGTTGTACTTCTTCCCTGCAGAGGAACTGCGCGATACGTACCCCACCCACCTTCACCTCGGACTTTCAGTTGGAGTCGCTGTCCAGGTGAGCTGGTCTGGCTTGCCAGCTTGCGTTGGTGTTCGCAACCACCCCTCCGCACAAAGTGACTCACGCCGAACACTGGACGGAGCCCTTTGAGACGCCCGGTCGGATCTGCGGGGGTTCCACTCCCCCCAAAAGGAGGAGAGAGCGGTATCCGTAAGGTACGGATAGCCAAGTCTGCGGAGTGGTCCGCACTTCTCCCTTCCCTCCCCCGGTTGAGGTTTCGGGCCGCGTCACAACCGGCCGGGGTGACTCAACGGCGGGGACTGGACCGACTCGCAAACCCCTTCTCTGTGCCGACCTTGACTCGGCTCCGAGAGACATGAGCCGGCAACCATTGATGGAAATCTCGTAAGCTGTCCCACACAAACCGTCCCTTCACAACAACGGAAGCGACGCCAAAAACGCCCTCGTCTCCCTCGCATACTCCGACTCCTCATCGGCAATCTCATGAATCTTCAACTCCTTCCTCGCCCACTTCCTCGCCGCCCCAAACTTGCCCGACCTCGACGCCGCATACGAAGCATATTTATACGCTTTACCCAGGTAATCCACCAACCCAACCTCCTCAACAAGCTTCACGAGTCGCTCCGCGTCGGGCAACACGTCCCCGCCAAACGCATCGCTCCCGAGTTCCCGCTCAATAATCCCCATCAGCCTCTTCATCTCGATCCTCTTATCGTCATCGTCCCGCGCCTCGCACGCGGCGCAGTCACATGTGAACCCCCACTGCGCAAGCCTCGCCCGCCTGCTGTCCGTGTCCTGCACCAGCGGCGCGTAAGTAATCGTCACCTCCTCGCCCGGCGCGATATCCCGCCCCGCCCAAATCACCCTCCGCCCGCCGACCGAGGCGGACCCCGCGTTGGGACGGCACGCGTGGTTGAGTTTGGCAATGTGCGGGAAGATGCCAATCTCGCCAGAGGACATGGTGAAGCCGTTTGTGCGGAAGATGAGGGCTTCCCGGCTGATGCCGGCGTCTGCGCCCCCCGGGTCGCGGTGCGCCGGGCAGGAGAGGTAGGCTGTGCGGCTGGAGGCGTCGAGTTGGGCAAAGGCTTGGTCGACAAGGGTTGCGATGGCGGCGAAGGCGAAGCCTTGGCCTGGGGTGAGAGCGCCCGGGTTAATTGTGAAGAGGGGGCGTTCGTCTATGATTACGGTGCCGCGGGGGATGGGGGCGATGGCGAAGATGCCGAGGCCTTTCCCTGGGGAGGGGCGGACTTGCCAGAGGCCTGACGGTGATTTGAGATCTGGGGGTTGAGTTAGTGAGTGAGTGAGTGTGAGTGAGATGAGGTGAGTTTATGTTGTGATGAATTGTTGATGAGGTGAGGTAAGGTAAGGCGAGATGAGAGGTATGTGGTGATGTGAGATGAGAAGAAGACCTACTCGTTCCATAACGAATCCGCGCCTCTTCCGAGTCACCCAGTCCATCAGGTACGACGCCCTCGTCAACATGGGATTCGTCTGCCGTGTCAAGGACGCCGTACTGAGATGTGTCGTTTTTCGTAATAATGCTCTGCAGCGATGCAACAGTCAACGGGCTCGAGGCGCACATGCGATCCCGAAGCTGCTGCTGCGCGTCATTGCTGTCTGTCGCTGCCAGCCCGGTGTCAAGGGCGCTGATGTCGTCGTGCCCGCCGTCGCATGCGAGCGCGCCGGCTGCGATTGATAGCCATACGGCGATATTGGATGATTTCATGATTTTGGCTCTATTAATTTGAAATTTCTTCTAAATTCTGTACTTCGGTGAGGGGAGGGGATGAACTCGCGCACGCCACGCCGAAGTTCAGATGAAAGATCTCAAATCTTTTTTTTTTTTTTGGCGATTGTATGTTGTGGTGTTTTGGCTTGTTTTTCGATGACAGGAGTAATCCGTATCCGTACTCACGGCCAATTCGCGCCGTGCCGTGCGTCTGGCATTTTTACTCCTTCCATTGGGGGGGGGGGGGTTAACGTTACAGGGACAAGAACAAAAAAGTCGAAACGGATCTGCCGTCGCAGGATCGTGTCAACGCCGGGTTCGTGGCGTTCAAGGGGCCGTTGCTGAAACAAGCAGCGCTGGCTGAATAATTCCGTTCCCCTGCTCCCCCCCCTCTTATTCTTCCGTAGCAGAACAAAATAGAGACGTAGAAAAGTCTGTCAGATATTGATAAAGTCATGCTCGTTTTAATTGTGAGTTTTGTCGTTTGATAATGGAGTGGAAACCGAGTTCTAGATAAAAAAGTAAAAAAGTCCTTCCCAGCCTTGTGGTTGAGGGGACGTCTGTCAGGGGCACCAGTTGTTTCACTTATCAGGCCAGGGCTAATGGGGGGCTTATCTGGCTTCCAAACTCCTCCTGTTCCTACCTCAACGATACGAAGCCGCGACATAAAATTGTATGCTAGCCATTCATTCTTGAAAGCCTCATTGCGGCTATCCAGCTAGACGACAGGCGTGGATTGGAATAAGGTCCTAACCTTCAGCAGGTGCCCAGCGCAGTCCTTTGACTGGTAACGAGACCCTGTGACATCACCAAAAGGCATGTGAATAGGAACAGACACGCCCACCGAGTTATTGCACTTGGACATGATGCTGTCCTGATCCGTTTGTCTCTGCGACTTCGGTCCTGTCCCCTGAAGGGTCTCGAGAAGGCGGTGGCAGGGTCGGGTGGCCAGCCGGGCGTCTCCCGTGTCTTTCCCGGCGCTGGGCAGACCCACTCCCCACGGAATCCGGGGCCGCAATCGAGACCACCATGGCTAGAGGTGCGTCCACCGCAGACCACGCGTCAATAGTTCCGACTCTTACCTGAGAAGACCGCCTATGGGTCTGCATGATGCTATGTCTTCTGAGATAAGCAAGCTCTGTTTCCTTGGAGATGGCCGAGTACTCTGCCATGTCGCTTCTTACCAACACCCTTCACCGAACTACTTCCTTCACTCGTTACGTTCCGTATCAATACTTCTTACGAAGATAAAGGAGTGGTACTTCAGCGAGATGTGGGAATTAATCGGCCGATGTTAGGGCTTGTCCTCTTCCTGTCAGGCTTGGCAGCGAGTTGTGGCTTTCGCAGAATAGCTTAGGAACGATGGTGGAAAGGTTTAGAGCGAATGGATTAATTACTGCCTCCATAGACTTCTACTCTCACGGTACTTGTCGTTAAAACGATACTCAGAAATCTAACGGTAGCGTCAATATCGTAATTGCTGTGGATTGCTGCTCCCAATGCAAACTAGAACTAGGTAGAGTGGCTAGAATGACATACATGAACCGCCCACCTTCTAGATATCCAGCCTGGCTATTTGAACAGATCACAACTTGCAATTCTTCATGGCTCTCAATTCAGCAAAGGAAGAAAAGATCTCACCAGACACCAATGGAGGGGAAAAGATAATATTTGTGCTTGTTTTGCAAGTCACAATTGTCGGGAACAACGGGAGATTGGTAGGCAAAGTCGCCTCCTGAGTATTACAGATGGAGTTTCTGAGTTGGAAACTGCTTGTGATGCTAACGTTCAAACGGAGAGAACTGAAGCCTTAACATGATCAAGCCTGCTGTTCGGTAAATGGCTGTGCGACAACCTGCTTGTGTCTACGTCACCAGAGCTGCGTCCATTGTGAACCCGTTTCATGCTCACTGCTTTCAAATGTATCATGGTGAACTCTCTGGACCAAGTCATAGATGAAGCTGTCCGTTCTCCAAGTCTGGAGGTGCGGTGTATCAATCTACCTGTTTACCTACTCTACCAAGCATATTCTAAATGGCGAGGGGATTATGGATGATTGCGTGGCTCATTACAATCCGCTTCCAGAAAGTTCTTTTTGCACAAGGAGATAGCCAACGTTAGTTCTCTTGATTTCTCTGAAATTGTGTACCCTCAACTGCTATGGCTCAAGCTTCCCTGCTGCTCATACCTCTATGCTCAGCCAGTTCTTTTCAGGCTAGCCAGCAGCCTGGATCAGACACCTCTTTAACCTTGTGGAGATCATCGTTGAACTCGTACGCCTACCGCCTATGGACTTCAATAGAGATCGGAGAAAGGCCCCCTTTGCACCGTATCCTCAAGGTTGACATACACACCCGCAGCGACGGCAAACCTCCTGTCAAGGTTTCCAGCAGCCGTGTTTATTTCAAACCGAGTCCATGGTTCTCACCTTGATGCCGAAGTTTTGGCGCAACGGGCCGTCCAGGAACATGCTCACACGGTGAAATAAGCCTCTTTTGGCATCTATCAATACCACCAGGTTGAGCACATTAGGGTACGAAGAATCAGAAAAGAATCGTGAAAGCAAGCACCGTGACGGCCTCGATCTTCCAGGAATCTATAAGATACGGCCTTCTCTCCCTTCTGATCCCTTTTCCCTATCCATCTTCCATCCATCTTACATACCACTCTCATAACTGCATCTTGTCAAGAAGTCAATCCAACCACTTACATACAACTACCCAACCAACTTACAACCCAACTACACACATAAGCAAACCAACTTCAGTCGTCAAGATGCAGTTCTCTACTTCCCTCATCGCTCTCGCTGCCACCGTCTTCTTCGGCGCTCACGGCGCTCCTACTGGCAATGCCCACCGAGACAACGATGTCGTCGGTACAGGCACCCCCAACCTCGTTAAGTATGTTGGCGCCAGCGACAAAGACAAGGCCTTCATCCCAGAGGGTGCTGGTGTGATCAACACAGACAAGGTCGTCCCTCAACAGTATCGCCCCAAGGCCAAACCAGTCATCCCCATCACCAAAGAGGGCGACGGCAAGGTCGACACAAACGTCCCCATCACCAAAGATGGCGACGACAAGACCAACGCAGGCATCCCCACCATCAAAGAGGGCGACGGCAAGGTCAACAACACAGACATCGCAACCCCCGAGGCCCCCGACTCCTCAGTCGACGACTTCATCCAGCACGGGGGCGCCCTCTGCCAGCACCAGCAGCTGAAACGTCGCGTCCTCCACGCCTACTCGCTCAAGGCCTACTCGGGAGTCGACGACGCCCCCAAGGTCTGCGGCGATCTCTGGCACAACCTCAGACGCTTCCCTGGCTGCGCCGCCGCTTCGGACGCTTCCTGCCGCGCGGGTACCGACAAGGGCGAACTGATCTGGCACTTCGTCGCCTCCACCTTCTGCAACGCCGGCATGGTCCAGTCGGCCTGGTACGAGGCTACCCACAACGACTATGGCGCCGCCGAGTGCAAGGATGTGGAGCAGCTAGGCTTCCGTTAAAGGGCACACACGCACACGCACACACACACATACACACATACCTCAGGCTGAACAATGGAGCTCGTGTCTCTTGCAGCGTGGGAGAGGTGTTGGGTTATGGGGAAGGAACCTTGGCGAACTGGCGCCTTCTCGGGCTGACAATGGAGCACATGACTCTTGCTGCCTTCGGAGACTTGGGGGATGTGAAAAGGACATTGAGGTCTAAGGACCTTGGGAGTTAAGATACCCTGGCATACTGGCTTAGGCTTTCGGCGTTGTGGAATTGTGTATGGGTAGTCTCTCTACTTTGAGGGGGACAGTAATAGGATGTCCTCGAGCCTTGGTGGGCGATACCATACACATCAGTTCGGTTTCAGCAAAATGAAGTCGTGCATGGCCAGTATCTCTTTCTTGTGGGTAGGCAAACAAACAGTCTGCGGCGTTGACAGGAAAAGTTCGACGCGACACATGGGATAAACAATACTGGAATAGTAGTGTAAAACAATCACATAACCACTAATACACTACATCCAAACCAAATACTCGAGTTGAAAAGTGACCTCTATTCCTGTGATGTGAGCAATCTCTGTCATTAATACACCCAGAGAACAGTCTAACAGATCAGCATAGCATTCCATGTCATTCTTACTCAGGCTGGGTCAAGGGGCTGGGCGATTGCTGAGAATCTCTAGTCACTGCCACCCATCTCGCAATATCACTTCAAGCGCTCTATTGGTGTGTTCCAATTGGGCGCAAGCATTTTCGCTTGAAATGCTCATGTAGAGGAAAGAAGATCTCATGTGGAATACTTACGGAATACTCAGCCAGATCGCCTACGCGGAAGGCCTCATATACCCCCTCAACCCCATTACTGTCACCAGCACAGCAGGTGCCCTCTAGGTCGGGGGTCAGGTCAAACTGTGGCGTGGGTAGTGGAATGGTTCATGGTCAACAATCAATCTACACACCAACCAGCCTACTCGACTACAGGCTCAGCGCATACGAGTACCCGAGTTCGAATCCCAGCATGAGCGTCAGAGATGTAGCCCCCAGTTCAGCAATTCCCCCGGGGGGGGGGGGGGGGTTGAACTCTTTTGTCTGTGCTGTTGAGTAGTTATGCCAGCTCATTTTTGTTTACTGACATATTCGCAGTGTTAACGGTCTTTCTCCCACAGCATCAAATAACGCACGGGTTTATATAACTCTCCTTCCTAAAGGCTCAGAAACCAGATGCCTTCATCTCTCAAGGGGTATGATACTTAGTATTCCTATTGGCCCACAGAGATATTTCCTCGCACCGTAAAGCTCTCCCAGGCTCCAAGATCTTCTATCTCGATCGCCTCCGACGAAGCAATACCCTACTATCTAGGGTTTGAGATCCGCATCGATACCTTTGTAAAGTCAACGTATGCTAGACACTGAACAGCATTTCTAAGTCATATGTTGCCTTCAACCACCTGGTATCTTCGGGACATTCTGCGAGACATTTGAGTTCTACGTCAGTCTTTTTTGTGCACCGATTAGAAACTTTCTGTCGTTCGCCTGTCTACAGATAACGTGATAAGATCCATCGCCCTGCTCGAAATCCCTGCCTAGCAGTTGGTTCAACTTGCCTTGCATCAAATGGGACATGCCCGTCATTCCGGACTTATCGCACAAAGCCACCTGTTTCCGATCTGAAGCTGACATCGCCCAAGTCGGTGCAAGTATTGCGTTATGGTCTCTCAAGTTTCGAATAACGAATGACTAATTGGACCACGACAAACATGTTGCCCACCCCCGGGTATGGAAATTTTCTTCATAACGCAATGACAATTTTCATTTCAGCCAGACAGAATTTGCCTCTCTGGGATACAACTGCAATCGAACCGATTCCGCTTTGAACTGAAATCGAGATGGCGGATGAGTTGGCGGGCTTTTATTTAAGCTTTTTGACAAAGCTCATACGGAGCTCAACGGTCTAAACCACCAATCTAAGATGACAAATTTACCCACTAGCATATACTGCATAACGGTAACGTTGATCAATGGTTGTTAGCTTAAGAAATCCGCGAAGACGAGAATGGAGAATCTCGCGATGAATGTAAAGATCGTGACACACATCTCAGAATGCAGTATATATGTGCCAAGATGAATCGCCTCAAGGCGCTTTTCTCTTTAGCTCATTCAATCCAACCAGTATCCTACTCAAGCATCCCAATCACTTCAACAACATCTCATCATCCAAAATGGCCCCTCAAGTGACCAACGTCGGCTTCATCGGCCTATCCTCCCGACCGTACGTACCTTAGCAGTCACGCTTCTCATTCCTTTGAAACTCACAGATACTAACAACGAGGATAGCGAATGGTCCTGGGCCGTCGCCGCCCACCTCCCCTACTTGACCAACTCCAAACACTACAATTTCGCAGCCCTCCAAAACAGCTCCAAAGAAACAGCCCAGAAAGCAATTCGTCTCCACAACCTTCCGCAAGCGCAAGAAACCAAAGCCTACGGCGACATCAACGCCCTCGTCTCCGACCCAGACGTCGACCTCGTCGCCGTAACCATAAAAGTCCATCTCCACGCCGCAGCCGTCGAAGCCGCCATCCGCGCCGGGAAAAGCGCCGTCTTCTGCGAGTGGCCCCTGGCGCGGAACAGCATCGAGGCAGAGCGCCTGACGTCCCTGGCTAAAGAAAAGGGAGTCAGGACCTTGGTGGGGTTACAAGGGCGTCAAGACCCCGCTACTCTCAAGGCGAAAGAGCTCGTGGAGCGCGGGGCATTGGGGGAGATCTTACAGACGACGATGCTGTTCACGAGCCCCTGGTTCGGGGCCACGATGCCCGAGGCGGCGGTGTACGGTGCCGATATCGAGAATGGCGCGAACCTAGTGTCCATCTCGGCGGGCCACGCGCTGGACGCGCTGTGTTTTGTGTTGGGGGAGTTGAGGGGGGTTCAGGCTACGTTGGCGAATAACCGGCCAAGAGTGGTCGTCACCGACGGCGAAGGGAAGGCCAAGGGTGAGATTGAGAAGACGGCGCACGATCACCTCTCTGTGGTGGGCAGACTTCCCGGCGGCGGGGTGGCGACGGCGGTTTGCCAGGGCGGCATGAGCCAGGTGGGCGACAAGAATTTCTTTTGGGAGATTACGGGGACAAAGGGGACGATTCTGATTGAGGGTCCGATGGAAAATATCCAGGGGTTCCCGCCGACGATCAAGTTTGTCAAGGCTGAGACGGGTGCTGCGCTGGAGGTTGTTGAGGTGGACGAGGTGAAGGGGTTTTCGGATAATACTGGCAAGGCGTGGGAGGCGTTCGCGGGGGCGGCGCCTGGGGAGGCGCCGGACTTTGAGATTGCTTTGATTAGGCATCGTATGTTGGATGCTATCTATAAGAGCAGTGAGCTTGGTACGAGGGAGGAGTACTGGTGATGAGTCAGGCTGTTTTGGGCGTACACACAAATCCTTGGAGTCCATTTGAGTAGAGTGTCGCTGTTGATTGTTACTTCAACGATGGTCGAGATAGTCCAGGAAGAATCCGTAGCCTTCTCTGTGAACCAAGGTGGTTTGTTCAGTCAACGCTCCACTGGAGGAGAAATCGAGGAAGTTGGATCGTGAAACCAAAGCTTTTGTTGCCGTCCTATCATACAGGAAGTCTATACTCATCGCTGATACCTATTTGTTATACATATTCTATTCTATTACCCTTCTATTCTCAAGTAAATCAAGTCGCTCAGTGTCTGTAGATGGCATCCGCCATCTTGACAATCTGGCACATCTCAACGGCATCGTGAACTCTGACAATGTCCGCCCCGCCCTGGACAGCCGAGACGACCGTGGCCGCCGTGCCCCAAATTCGCTCCTGAGGCTTCGACACACCAGTGAACTTGCCAACGAAGCTCTTCCGGCTAGACCCGACCAGCCAGGGGAACCCCTCCAGGCCCGGCCACGAACGCAGCTCGTCCATGTGGCGCAAAATCTCGAGGTTCTGCGGCCCCGTCTTGGCGAAGCCCAGCCCAGGATCGAGAACGATGCGCCACCGTCGCACGCCCGCGGCCTCGGCCTCGGCGACGCGCTCGAGAAGCTCGCGGGCGATGGTGGGGATCAGGCCGTCCGGGTAGTCCGTCAGCGAGTTCATCGTCGCGGGGGTGCCGCGCATGTGCATGAGGCAGACGGTGCGGTTGCTGCGCGCCATGTAGGGGATCATGGCGGGGTCGAGCTGGCCCGCGGAGACGTCGTTGATGATGTCCGCGCCCGCGGCGACGGCGGCCTCGGCGACGGAGGCGCGATAGGTGTCGATGCTGACGGCAAGGTGGGCGAGTTCGGGGAGGGCGCGGACGAGCTTTATGACGGGGAGGACGCGGGCGAGCTCCTCGTCGGCGGGGACCTCGGGGCGTCCCGGGGCGGTGGAGCAGCCGCCCACGTCGACGATGGTGACACCGGCGGCGGCGAAGGATTTGAGGGTCGCGACGAGGTTTTGGGCGTTGTGGACGCCGCCGTCGGAGAAGGAGTCGGGAGTGGCGTTGATGATGGCCATGACGTGGGTTTGGCGGCTGGACGTGAGGGCGGCGAGGGGAGGGTGAGAGACGGAGATGGGGGTGAGTGGTGAGAGGGGCGCCGCTGAGGGGGGAAGCTCGTTGAGGTAGTCCAGGGTGAGTTTCCAAGGGTTGGATGCGTAGAGAGGCTTTTCAGGAATGAGTCTGAGATGAGGGTGTTAGTTGCCATGTCATGTGAGAGGACGGATGAGATAGGACGGACTCAGCCAGAGGTCGCAGGACAAATTCTCTCTCGGGAATGCTAATGTGAGGCACGTTGAGACGAGGATGCTCAATCTTCTCATCACCATACATGAGAATGTCGAGGTCAATGTTGCGGGGGCCCTTGTCAATCAGCTTCTTACGGCCCAGGGTGCGCTCAATGTCCTGAAGTTCGTCGAGAAGAGCCAAAGGTTCGAGTTCAGTCTCGACCTGTATGTCATCCGATCAGTCAAAAACCTTAACTGGCATAGATATGCTTCCAAGAAGTGCATGAATATCATACATCA